CTCTCAACACACACACACACACACACACACACACACACACACAGTGCACTGCCCTCTCTGAACTGAACCCAGCAGCACAGAGGCAGAGACCGAGAGAGAAGGTGCCCACCGAACTGCATATCCGCCTATTATTGTGTATTACACACAGAAAGAAACCGAAACGACTTTCCGTGTACTCGGTCTCTCCAGATGTCCGTGATTAACACCACAGCTAGCTCTCCGTGGACGTTTTGACCAGCTGTAACAGTGTTGAGTGTGCGGCAGGTGAAGATGGGGACGAGGGGACCGGTGCTTGTGTTTCTATCGCGGCTGTTCATTGACGCTCTAATGGCGCAGGAGTTGCCCACCAACGGCGTGAACGGATTCAGTCTGCACCCACCGTATTTTAATCTAGCGGAGGGGACGAAAATCACGGCCACGGCGACCTGCGGAGTGGACGAGAACGAGCAGCCGATTCAAGACCTGTACTGCAAACTGGTCGGGGGCCCCGTGTCAGGGGACCCGAGTCAGACTATTCAGGTAAAGAAATGGGAAATACTTACTTTTCTAAGGTTTACATTACTAAAAATGAATAAAAGCACACTTTGGGGTTAGTTCGTTTCAGTTATAGACAATATTGGATTGTATTTGACTTTGTGAAATGCACTTTTTATCGTTTTTATACGTAAATATATCAGATGCTACCATAGTGCTGAATAATTGCCATGTTAATTTACTTGGTATTTCAACTGGCGTGATACAGGGGCCCCGTGTCAGGGGACCCGAGTCAGACTATTCAGGTAAAGAATTTTACTTTTCTAAGGTTTACATTACTAAAAATGAATAAAAGCACACTTTGGAGTTAGTTCGTTTCAGTTATAGACAATATTGGATTGTATTTGACTTTGTGAAATGCACTTTTTATCGTTTTTATACGTAAATATATCAGATGCTACCATAGTGCTGAATAATTGCCATGTTAATTTACTTGGTATTTCAACTGGCGTGATACACGTCCAAAACATTTATTACCACATTGCACTTATTTCCATAGTACCCAAACATGGTAATATTTATATTTTAAACTTTTTTTGTTAGTCTGTATAAACAAGTCAGGACAGTGCTTTGGATTTGAGGAACTGTGCAAGATCTTGATCTGTTTTTGAGAGCACCTGCTTAAGGTGAAAAGGCCAGAGATCCCTATATAGAGCTATAGTGCCTCATAAGAGACCCCCACTGAAGCTTCATAAGCAGGCTTAGGAGACTCGACTTAGCATGTTGGCGAGTGAGTGAAATGTTTAAACATTGTAAAGAGTAAAACGCCACCCACGTGTAGCACTGTTACTGGATTTTCCCTGAAGAATGTGTGGCATTTCATATAAGACCTTGAGGGAGACAGACACACAGATTTGCACACTTCAAAGAATGTTAATAAAATGTTGCGACCTGATCAATTGTTGCAGGCACCTCCTGTGGTTCTCGAGACACTATATCATATGCCTGCAGTCCATTTTTTTACTGCACTTTAACTCGTAATCATTTTATACTTATCAGTATCCTCTAAGACATTTTGCTTATCCATAGTTGTCCTAAACTTTGACTTTTAGTCAAAGGAAATCTCATCAGTCTCTGAAACCTTCACACATAGGTGGTCTCAACATAATTTGGCAAATTTCTGATCACGTTCACTCATATTAGTTAGTTTATACTGTTATAAATGAATCTATTTTCCTAGGCAAGTATAAATAGCTATAAATAATAATTAAAAGGGGTTTGAGATGCCAGCAGTTGGATAATGAAGGGAGGGAATTCCTTGGTTTTTCAAGTCAAGTCTGCTTTATTGTCAGTTCTTCCACATGTACAGCCCATACACACAGAGAATTGAAATTGCGTTACTCTCAGACCCTTGGTGCATACAGATAACACTAACAGTAGAACATAAATACAGATAGATACAGATTAAATATAAAATACAACTATACAAATATACAAATAAGGTAAAATATAAAAAAATATATAAAGCAGCACCTGGCAGATAGAGTGCAAACCAGTGAAGTAAATAACAGTGCAGATATAAGGATTTGTAGTGCAAAAGAGCTTATTCAGACTGATTAAAGTGACAGTGTGTGTCTGTATTTGGGAGAGGGGGGAGTGGGAGAGTCCATCAGAGGGTCAGAGTTCAGTGGTGCGTGGTGCTTTTCTGATGTTTTCACTAAAATATCCTGCTGAGCAATCCCCTACAAATCCAGCTAAGCAACAAGTGTATGGTATTTATGCAGCAAAATAACGTTTCACTGTGCCTAGTCTGTGCATCTTTTTCAGTCAGTTTCTACAACTCAGCTTATCATGGAATATAAGTTTCCATGTTGTCCTCCAGTCTGCATTATCAGAAATGAACAGATAAAAGGTGCAGGAATTGGAGGGGGAATTCTCCAAGATAGAAAGTTGTTTATTTGCACATGCTCTCTGCATTCACTAAAATAATTATGCAAATCAGGTAGCGGCGCAGACACACCCAAAAAAATTGGTGCTGAATTTCAATTTGCACGCCACAATTTCTAATTTTGCAGATCACCTGATTTGCACCTGAAGTGATGAGTTATAACTCTTTTCTTCATTATTTCATCATAATTCGATGAGTCATTGTCATGATTGATAGAACATGTACACATCTAAATTGTGGCGTTATGACATGAACATAATTTACAGATAATTTAGCAGCACTGCATGATTAGAGCGCATTGTAGCGTCTGGATAAACTGTGGGTTTGTGGGTGGTTGGGTAGTGAAAAAGTGTCTGTGCTGAAATACCTGTTAAGTGTTAACTAATTTTTTGACCTCAGAGGGGTTAGTTTCCTCATTCAGCTTTTTGTCTAATTTGTCTAATTCGAACTTAACTAAAAGTAGATCACGTTACATAAAGGTGTGATTTACTAAAGTACTTGTAGAGATATCGTTCAGCTAAATGTTGTGTCTTCCTGTGTTATCAGGGCCAGTACTGTGACATCTGCACCTCCAAAGACACTAACAGAGCGCATCCCATCAACAATGCCATCGATGGCACCGAACGATGGTGGCAAAGCCCTCCGCTCTCCCGCAGTGCAAAATACAACACGGTCAACGTCACCCTGGACCTAGGACAGGTATGTTACCGGTGCATTCCTTACGTTTGTCTAACTCTCTATCACACCCCCACCCACAAGCACGTATCGTGTTCAGATTATTCAGCATACAGTAGAGTCATCTGATACTTGGCTACAGCAGGCGCTGTTGTGGATTGCACATGAGTGTAGAATTTCAAGAGTGGACCCTAAGTTGAATCTCATCCATTCATACATGAGTCTGGAGTATCTAGAGGGGGTTCTTTTTTTTTTTTTGCTCTGAACACTTCACATTGAACACTTGGTCTTGTGTATCGAAGGTTCTTATTTGTGAATAGCTGAACAGCCAGGGGGCATTTAGGATTATTACTTTCTAAACTGTAATGGTAAATAAACATTAATCATACTCTCCCACACATATTCTCCCCCAGCATTCCCAGTGGCTTCTACATAAACAGTTAGTACTGCTGAATATTGCTTTATGCTGCCCAATTGAGAAAGAGAGGAAGGGAAGCAACAACTACCAACTAAAGTTTCCCATTGAACTCTATTGAGTTTCAGGCTCTTCAGAAACAGTCTAGTCTCATGTCTCAAAAAGTGGCTTGTCTGGATTTAATGGGAAGCAATTGCCGATCAGGCCACAGGGCATTATAATGAGAAGCTTGGATCACATCTTATTTTATGAATGGATTCAAAATAATTTTATTTTTGTTAAGAGAAGTATTACAGTGGCCCACACAGAATCTGCACACACAGCACTCTGCAAAAAAAAAACCCCCCCCGAAAACCTGTCAAGTTCTGCAGATTCCCTATTCAATATTCATTTATTACATATTCTTACAGCTGCATTTAATATGTTTTGCCATGCTTGAATCAATATTTCAAAATGTCCATCAAAATCAATGTAGAAATTGGGGGAAAGTCTGCACAGTGAGCAGAACCCCAACACAGATTAAATAAATGTACAAGTAACAGTAATTTAGTAATTTTGAGAAATTGTTTTATTATGTCAGCAGAAAAAGTTAACAAAGTGATGCAAGAACAGAAAGTGTATTGTTTTGACACTACCGTTGTGAACGTTTGGAGTGGGTAAGATTTAAAAAGAATTTTTAAAGTCTCTTAAGCTTACCAAATCTGCATTATTTTATAAAAAAAGACTGTAATTACAGTAATATTGTCAACTGTTACTGCAATTTAAAATAACTTTTTTCTATTTGAATATATTTTAAAATGTAATTTATTCCTGTGATGCAAAGCTGAATTTTCAGTATCATTACTCCAGTCTTCAGTGTCACATGATCCTTCAGAAATAACTCTAATATGCTGATTTGCTGCTTGAGAAACATTTCTTATTATTATCAATGTTGAAAACAGTTCTGTTTCATATTTTTGTGTTTTTCTAGGAATCTTTGATGAATAGAAAGTTCAGAATAACAGGATTTATCTGAACTTTTGTAGCATTATAAATGCCTTTACTCTCACATTTATTCAATTGAATGCATCCTTGCTGAAAAAAAAAAATCTTACTGACTCTAAACATTTGAACGACTATGCTATATATTTAGTCTATGTATAACCAGGCTATGTAGTTGTGGTCTCATTCAGCTGAACATGGCTGTAATATGTGACAGACTAAGCCCTGTACAACCTACTTTCTTTTCTCTCTCAATCTCCCCCCCCCCCCTCTCTCTCTGAATGGAAACAGAGAGCAGTGACTGGCTTTGTACTGAGTTCTTTTATGCGGCTGGTATTTTTTCAGTACCACTGAAACCAGCTTGTTAAAAAGCAATACATGCGCATTCATACATCGCTGAGAAGAGAGAGTGAGAGAAGATGTGCTATATATATATTAATGCCATCGACACTTCATCTGAAGAAAATGTGAGTTGCACAGTTGTTTTAGGTGGCTGCCAAGGCATTGCTATGTGGTCTGGGTGGTTTTTGGCATGTTGCTATGTAGTTGTGCTAGTTGACGAATAATGGTTGCTTGGCCCAGGCAGGTTTTTCACTCATTATAATATGTCATAAGTTTAAAACAGACGTTAGGTCTCTTAGAAGAGTAATAGCACACCTCTCCTCATCATTCCACATGCTTTGAGGAATCATTTACTGTATGCCAATAGCACAAGCAGTGTGGGATGAGTTAAACACCAAAGGTTTAATGGGGTTTGTTCAGACCTATAACTGAAGTATGAGGAGCAGTGATAGTGATGCTGCTTTGGAGGCTTCCTCTAACACAGGTATGAGGCTCCCTCAGAGCAGATGAATTAGTTTGGAATGTTAGTTACTCAATATCTGTCTCGACCTGTTCAGGGACCAAACGACCCTCCCCATCACAACCAAAGTTCATGTCGCTCTTCTCTCTCTCGCTCTCTTTTTCTGTCTGTTGAATGACCCTAGACACTTTTTGCACATTTTTCCTGCATTCTGTGAACATGAGTGCTGAGGATCTCGAGTAAACAGCCATGACACACATGAATTAATCCTCTAGATGCATTCGAGTATTAACCAGTGTTTATGCAGTCATGTTAGCAAGATACTGTAAAAGTTAAATGAAACATGTTTTGGGTTTGGTGTCAATAAACCAAATGATTTGAACTGATTAATGCTTTTTTCTCTCATAGTGACCTGAGAATCGATAAGTGAGCTGAGTAAATGTAGTATTTCTTAATCTAAATGCAAATTATATTTAGGTTGTAAATGACTGAAATTGTAAATGTTAGAGATGCACCGATGTGAGTATTTTAAAACCATCGGCTATAGCATGAAAGCCGATGCAAAAGCTAAGCTATAAACATTTATTTAAAAATGTTTTCCACTTTACTGTGGGACCTCTCCTAGCCAGATGCTCACTGTTAATGTAACCTCATTTGTGTGTGTGATCCCTCAGGGCACATTAGTTTAATATCACTCAGAGTTTAGTATTAAAGACAAAAACAAACTCTGTCTCGCTGCTAATAGCACATAAATGCCATGGGAAATAACTTATCTAAGCCTAAACTTGATGATTCATTGCTTAAGCTATTTTCTGAAGTATTCAGATATTTGAGGGAGATCATGGATGACGTGACATGTGGCCAAGTATGGTGACCCATACTCGGAATTAGTGCTCTGCATTTATCCCATCCAAAGTGCACACACAGCAGTGAACACACACACACCGTGAACACACAGTGGGCAGCCATTTTTTTGCTGCGGCGCCCGGGGAGCAGTTGGGTGCCTTGCTCAAGGGCACCTCAGTCGTGGTATTGAAGGTGGGAGAGAGCGCTGTACATTCACTCACCCCCACCTACACATAAACAATAATCAAGCCTGTCTTGAGACTTTCAACACTCTTTTAAGTATACAGGGTTGTTTATTTCTTATTTTTCCTTCTATTTCTTAAGCATGCTCGTTCACACAAGTGAAATTGCTCGTGCACAAGTTTGCACTTTATGATTAAAGTATATTGCAACCATTTACACATTTGAATACCTAAAAATACACTTATTTTTTGGGGGGAGGGTGGGGGAGGCTGAGGGGGACTCAATGGGGACTAAAATGCCCCATTGTGTGCCATGCACGGAGATGGGCATGATGCCAGTCGTGAGCGCCGGACAGAACTAAAGTTTTCCTGTCATCGAGTAAGGACTGAGTTTATCCAATGGCAAGGCTATAGAGCTTGATGTATTGATCGCTCACTCATTTTTTCTCTCTCTTGGTCTATTAAAATAGTCAGTTGCTCGCCCTATCCTTGCCTGGCATCAGTTTTCCTGCCGTTATGTAGAGACCATGTGATCATGAACTAGCTTAAACCGACAGTTCACCCAAAATTGTATGATTTACTTTCTTCTGTGGAACACAAAAGAAGAAATTTTAAAGAATGTTTCAGCTATTTTTGTCCATATAAAGAAAGTCAGTGGGGTCCAAAATAAATTGACTTTCACTGTATGGACAACACACTTTTCACAGATGATAGAAAGTTATACAGGTTTGGAAAATTAATTAATTGTAACACATTTTTTTACATACAATGACACAAATTTTCCACTGACAGTGCATTATGCCTCAGGCACAAGATCTACCTTGTCAAAGTTTGTGTGTGTGTGTTTTCCATAATCCCATGTATGGGACGTCCCAGTGTGTGGCCTGCATACCGTGGCAAACAAAGTTCCCATTGTGCAGTTCTCAGCATCTTCCCTTGCTTTCTCCTTACTTTTTCCACTGAAAAGTCAGACCTGTAGATCAATATCCAGAAAGAGCTGATATTTTAAATGTCTCTTCTGAGATACTCTTGCACTCCTCCTTCACTCTTTTTCTGTTTAAACTGAAGTTGTGTTGTTCATGTACAGGTGCATCTCAATAAATTAGAATGTCATGGAAAAGTTCATTTATTTCAGTAATTCAACTCGAATTGTGAAACTCGTGTATTAAATAAATTCAATGCACACAGACTGAAGTAGTTTAAGTCTTTGGTTCTTTTAATTGGGATGATTTTGGCTCACATTTATCAAAAACCCACCAATTCACTATCTCAACAAATTAGAATACTTCATAAGACCAATAAAAAAAACATTTTTAGTGAATTGTTGGCCTTCTGGAAAGTATGTTCATTTACTGTACATGTACTCAATACTTGGTAGGGGCTCCTTTTGCTTTAATTACTCCCTCAATTCGGCGTGGCATGGAGGTGATCAGTTTGTGGCACTGCTGAGGTGGTATGGAAGCCCAGGTTTCTTTGACAGTGGCCTTCAGCTCATCTGCATTTTTTGGAAGAGGATTACGACAACTGTAGCCAAATTCCTTGACACGTTTGTGTGTGGTGGCTCTTGATGCCTTGACCGCAGCCTCAGTCCATTCCTTGTGAAGTTCACTCAAATTCTTGAATCGATTTTGCTTGACAATCCTCATAATGCTGCGGTTCTCTCGGTTGGTTGTGCGTCTTTTTCTTCCACAATTTTTCCTTCCACTCAACTTTCTGTTAACATGCTTGGATACAGCACTCTGTGAACAGCCAGCGTCTTTGGCAATGAATGTTTGTGGCTTACCCTCCTTGTGAAGGG